GTAAAAGTAATTAGCCGTGCAACTCTGGGCACAAACTCTGTGGACTGATGGTGGATTCATCTGTGATGGATGAAATGGTTTAACTCAATAGTTCATCCTCTTTCGGTGAAGACTAGTCAATTTTCATTTCCCTAAAGCCTTATAATCATAGTAGTTACAATGACTAAAGAAATTAAGAACTAGAGCATGGAAAAGAGAAGACACTGCTGGTAGTATATCCCTCCTTAATGATAATTCCAGCAAGTTAATGAGAGTGGAGGGACATGGTAGCACTGACCAGCTGAGAGATCCACCATGTAGAACTTAAAATCAATACATTGATTTTAAAAACAAGACATTCCATCACTCAGCTCTGGGCATTTTTTCTGGCTTTACCCCATACATGGAATGTTCTCCCTCCTCTTTCTAACTATTGACCTCCCTGACTTCCTTTAAGTACTAATTAAAATCCCATCTTTTACTGAAAGCCTTTATCATACCCCTCTTAATTCCCATGTTTTCCCTGTTAATTATTTCCTATTTGTCCTGTATAAATCTTGTTTTGTATTTATTTGTTTGCATGTTGTGTCCTCTATTAGACTGTAAGCTGATCAAGGGCAGGGGCTATCTTTTGCCTTTTTGTATCCCCAGCACTTAGCAGAGTCCCTGGCACATAATTGGTGCTCAGTAAATATTTACTGAACACCAATGTGTACTGGACTAGATGATCACTAGCGTTTCTTTCAGTCACAAATTCTATGATCCTACTTAGGTGAGATAGTACAAACCATTATCAGTACAAGTTTATTTGTTCAGTTATTTTTTAGTTGTGTCCAAATTTTTGTGAACCCATTTGGAGTTTTCTTGGAAAATACTAGAGTGGTTTGCCATTTCCCTCTCCAGTTCATGTTACAGATGAGAAAACTAAGGCAAATAGGGTTAACTGACTTGCCCAGAGTCACACAGCTACTAAGTATGTGAGGCTGGATTTGAAACAACTAGTTAGAAGCAGATTACAGGAGTCTTTTTGCCAGCACTAAGGCAGGACTCTGTTGCTTTGCCCATACTTGGATCCAGGTCATGGTCCTGGACAGCAATCCCAGGGTAAGGAGGAGCACTAGCAAATCAGAGTTTGCAGCTGCAGTGGCGTGGGGACCCTTGTCACAGTGCCAGGGTAGAAAAGACTCTGTGTGTGGTCGCTCATAGTCTAGAACACAGGTCAGGAGAGTAGTAAACACATCTCCCCTTAGATCACACTACTTTGGAAGAACTGAAAACTTAAAGGTCCCTAGAAGTATCTCTGAGAACAGCTGAACAAAAACCCTGAAACTTGGGACAGTGCACCCTACACCCTGGAAGCAAAGACCCACTTTAGCAAAGAGTTAAAAGTCAAGAAATAGGCTGGAAAAATGGGCAAACAGACAAAAATCCTGACCAGAAAAAGGTACTATGGTGACAAGGAAGATCAAAACACACTCAGAAGAAGATAACAAAGTCAAAGCCCTTACATCCAAAGCCTCCAAGAAAAATATGAATTGGTCTCAGGTCATGGAAGAGCTAAAAAAAATATTGAAAATCAAGTAAGAGAGGTAGAGGAAAAATTGGGAAGAGAAATGAGAATGATACAAGAAAATCATGAAAAAAGAGTCAACAACTTGGTGAAGACACCAAAAAATTCTGAAGAAAATAATATCTTAAAAAACAGACTAGGCCAAACAGTAAAAAGAGGTACAAAAAGTCAATGAGGAGAAGAATGCTTTGAAAAGCAGAACTGGCCAAACGGTAAAAAGAAGCATAAAAATTCACTGAAGGAAAAAAACTCCTTAGAAACAGAATTGCCAAATAGAAAAGGAGATACAAAAGCTCAATGAAGAAAATAACTTCTTAAAACTTAGAATTAAGCAAATGGAAGTTAATAACTTTATGAGAAATCAAGAAACAATAAAACAAAATCAAAAGAATGAAAAAAAAATAGAGAACAATGTAAAATATCTCACTGGAAAAACAACTGACCTGGAAAACTGAGCCAGGAGAGATCATTTAAAAGTATGGGACTACCTGAGAGTCATGATCAAAAAAAGAGCTTAGACCTCATCTTTAAAGAAATTATGAAGGAAAACTGCCCTGATATTTTAGAACCAGAGGGTAAAATAGAAATTGAAAGAATCCACTGATCACCTTCTGAAAGAGATTCCAAAATGAAAACTCCCAGGAATATTATTGCCAAATACCAGATCTCCCAGGTCAAGGAGAAAATACTGGCAGCAGCAAGAAACAATTCAAGTACAGTGGAGGTATAGTCAGGATAATGTAAGATTTAGCAGCTTCCACATTAAAGGACTGCAGGGCTTGGAATATGATATTTCAGAAGACAAAGGAACTAGGATTACAGGCAAGAGTCACCTACTCAGCAAAACTTCAGAGGAAAAAATGGACATTCAATGAAACAGAAGACTTTCAAGCATTCTTGATGTAAAGACCAGAGCTGACTAGTAAATGTGACTTTCAAATACAAGACTCAAGAGAAGCATAAAAAGGTAAACAGGAAAGGGAAATCATAAGGGAATAAAAAGTTGGGCCTTACAGAATTAAAAAAAAAAAAAAAGAATCCGACGACCAACAATAGAAAAAATTTAAGATTTCACTTAGTACAAAAAGGCTTAACAAATACTTTCAAAGGAACCATCAGTCTTAAAAATGAGGAAGAATAAGAAGAAAATTCTGATTCATCTGTGTGGCAGGATATACTAGCTATGGAAGCTCAGAAATAAGAATGCTGAGATTTTTATCAGAAAAAGGCAAACTCATTGGTGAATAAAGGCAAAGGGGACAACTATGTTAAATAAACTGTCACATAAAGTTAAAATTAACTGTCATGTAAGAAATCAAAGAGAAAAAACAAGGGTCCAATATATAACATAATATTCATAAAAGCACTTTTATCATAGTGAAGAACTGAAAACAAAGTAGATACCCATCAATTGTGCAATGGCTTGAAAAAAACTATGGTATACAAATATAATGATTATACATGATAAAATAAAAATTTGGAGAAACACAGATTTTTATGAACTGATGCAGGGCAAAATACAAACAAAAACAACATACATAATGATTGTATAACAAGGTAAATGAAAAGACCAATAAAAGAAATTCTAGAGAACAAATAATGAAACATACTTTGAGGGCAAAGAAGCAGGGAGGTGAGAGAAACACTACTATTGGGGCTGAATGTGCTATATGTCACTGAATCCAACTACTACCCCAAATGTTTTTTGTTTTTTAATTATAAAAAAGGATTCATTTTGGAAAGGGAGGATGATGTATCCTCTCCAGAAATGACTGATGTAAATACAAAACATCAATAAAACTGTTTTTAGGTCAACGTCAACATGCACTATATTATCTTCCATTTGAGGAAAGTGATATTTAGGTACAATGATGTTTAGATTCCTGAAGTTCAATAAAACTTCATCCATTTATTTAGCAAACAAAGAACAAGGCAATTAGAAATACTGAATTGTGAGTTTCATTTTAAAATAAAAATAAATGTTTCCCAGGTAAAAATTGACATTAGTCAAACACATTAAAATAGGAGAATGAAGTCCAAGAGTGGCTGAAGAGATCTTCTTAAAGACTTCCATTAATAGGACAACTTAATACTAACTTATAGGGGGCAGCTAGGTGGCACCTAGGTGGGGCAGTGGATAGAGCTCTGGCCTTGGAATCAGGAGGACCTGAGTTCAAATCTGACCTCAGACACTTGACATTTACTAGCTGTGTGACCCTGGGCAAGTCACTTACCCCTGATTGCCTCACCCCTCCCAAAAAAATTACTGACTTATTTATGTAAATTTTAGTTCATCTAAAGTCAAAATTTTCTTATACTTAGTTTTAATCAACTAATTTGTTATGTTTTAACAGCTGGATTAGTCTTATGCAATTAATTTTTGAAAGATATTTACCTTGTAAATTCTTTAATCCTAAACTATAGAGAGTGAAGCACTATTCTCAATTAGCATCTTTCAAATCATCTGAATTATTTATCCCCAACAAATACTAGTCAGGAAATTATAAGTGTGTGTTTCTACTTCAGTTGATTCTTTCATTCAGTGAAGTGCGAATCTTGAAATTAGAATGTGTGTGTGTATTACCTAAGTGAGTAGATTTTCCTTAATACAATTCTAGTTCCTGGATTGTGGAATGTGTAATGCTCTTGCCCTAGGCCCCTAACCATCATGGTGGCCAAGAGCTAAAGGGTCCCGGCCTTTTCACTTCATTCCTTCAATTGTCAATTCAAATCTCAATCAGCAGCATCTATTGGTGAGCCTTCCTCTTTCTCTTTTTTTTTTTTTTTAAATAAAAGTCGTGAAATTACTTCCTTCGATTTGCTAGATTAAGGCGGTGTGAACACCCCAAGGCCTTTCCAGGCATGTACACCAATACCCCAACTACAAGGGAAGGGCCTGGAGCAGCCAGTTTGACAACTCCTGGGAAATAGGTCTCCAGGAAAAGAAAGCGGGGGTGGCTTCAAATTAAATACCGCTCTTTTCCCATCGCACCCCAGTCCCTAGAAGCTGTCGATTTAAAAGACGTTTCTCCCCTTCCCCCACCCTGGTAGAAGTACTGCTTCCAAACCTGAATGTCATCTCTGAGATAAGGGCAGGAGGCTCCAGGGGTGGGGTGGGGTGAACCAGAGCCCCTCCCCCTCCAACGCGGGGGGGGGTCTCACCCCGACGCAGACTCTATGACATTCCCCCTCTCTTCCACCCCTACGCCAAACGTGCCCTTTTGGGGACGCCCTCACCCCCAAGAGGCCTGATGTCAACAATCAGGGTCCGGAGGGGAAGGACCGAGGTACGGAGGGACAGATGGGCCCCCCGCCGCCTTCGCTCCCGCACCGCCACGCCCCATTGCGGGCTAGCGCCCCGTGCGGGGGGGGCGGGGAAGGCTCGAAAAGAGGGGCGTCAGCCTGGGCCAAGGGGTAGGGCAGGGAGGGCCGAGGACGGAAAAGGCCTCACCTTGACCCTTATCTCATAGGTGGTGAAGCGGCCTCGGCCGACCCCCACGGTCTGCGGGTTGCTCACGTCGATCTCGAGGAAGTTGCTGGGCGGCCCGTAGGCGTCATTCAGGTTCTGCGGTTTGGTGATCAGCCGCCGGGTGTCAGCTACGGTCTCCGCCATTTCGCCGCTGCTCCCTCCTCCTCCGCCTCCTCCCGCCGCCGCCGCCGCCGCCGCTGCTTCTTCTTCAACCTCCACCGCCGCCGCCGCCGCCCACCCGGGGGAAACCGAGCTCGAGCTCGCGCGCTCCCGCACGCCGGCACGCACGCACTGGCGCACGCTCGCGCGCTCTCGCTCGGCCTAACTCTCGCGCTCGCTCTCCCCCACCCTCGGGGACTACGGCGCGGGAGGGAGAGGAGGCTTGGGTGCGTGGTTACCCTGCAATGAGAAACCCTCCTGAGTCCCTGGGGGAAAACAGCTGACTCAAGTGCGGGAAAAGGCGAGCACTCACAGACCAGCTGCAGGGAGGCCCCAGAGAGGAGGGAGGAAGGAGCTGCACGGGGGTGGAGGTGGGGCGGAGGGTGTTCTGGACGGGGGGGTGTTCTGGGCGGGGAAAGGGAGACGCGAAAGGCACCACGGAACTTGTAGTCTTCCCGGTTCCTTCTCCCAGTGCTAGAAGGAACGTGCTTTTGGAAGAAGAGCGGGGGCCAGGTAAGACTACAACTCCCACAGTGCACAAGGGCAGGAGCTCACACAATGGAGAGGTTTGGGCCAAGGGTATTCAAGGGCCCGCCCGCAGAGAAAATGGGAAAAACGGGATGGGCTCCTCAGCCTGTTTCTCCTGTGTCAGCGATGGTGGGGCTGGGGTGGCTAGAACACCGGAAATAACAGTCACGAGGAAGGGAGACGTGGCGGGGGAAGGGTTAAGGGAGTTAAATCTGTGGAAGGTGAAAATTGCAATGGTCTGAGGATAAAAATCAAAGCTAGAGCAAAGGGACGTGCAGCAAAAACTGACGAGTTCAGCCTGCCCCATTGTTGTAATGCAGTACTCACAAATGCTCTCCATGTCATCTTTTGGTCTGTTTAATATTTCAAATATCAGAAGAAAGCAGCTAAGTTCCACAGTGGATGGAATGCTGGGCCTGGAGATAGGAAGATCTGAGTTCAAATTCAGCCTCAGACACTTACTGGCTTTGTCATTGGGCAAGTCACTTAACTTCTGTCCGCTTCAGTTTCCTTAACTGTAAAATGGGGATAATAACAAACAGTACCTGCCTCCCCGAGTTGGTGTGAGGATCAAATGAGATTATATTCTTAAAGGGCCTGGGACACAGTAGGTATTTAATAAATGCTTTTCTCCCTTCCTCCGTCCCATCCCCCACTCCTCAGAAGACACAGCTAGAAGGGCCCTTGGAGATCATTTGGTCAGGTCACCTGATGCTGTCACAATTTCAGAGATAAACACGTTCAATATATTTCTTCATATCTGTAGCCTTGAAGAAACTACCTGTCTTTCAACACTTCCACTTTGCTATTTTTCCCCAAGACAACGATAATAATGACACATCATTCCTTGGGAGGTCAATTCAACTATCCAGACAAGTCTGAGAATGGATCCTGTCAGCCATCAATATATGCTTTATATTTTCAAGGTTTGCAAAGCACTTTTCTCACAATAATGGTGAGGTACAGTCAAGAAGAATTACAAATGAAGAAGCAGATTAAGTGATTTGGTCACATAGCTAGTAGATGCCAAAGCAGGAATCAAATCTGTCCTGGTTCAACTATCCCTCCACCCTGTCCAACATTCTCTCTACCACAGAATTAGAGAATCTGCATCTTGGAAGGGACCTTCCTAGTCCAATTATATCTGGACAACGATCCCCTTTACAGTACCCAAAGAATGGTCATCCAGTCTTTGCTAAAGTCAGTTATCCAATAAACATTAAGAATTTACTGTAGGTTGGAGATGGCAGAGTGGATAGAGTGGTGACTGTGGAGTCAGGATGACCTGAGTTCAAATCCAACCTCAGCCACCTACTAGCTGTGTGACCCTAGGCAAGTCACTTCACCCTGTTTGCCTCAGTTTCCTCATCTATAAAATGAGCTGGACAAGGAAATGGCAAACCGCTCCAGTGTCTTTGTCAAGAAAACCCCAAATGGAATCACAAAGAGTGTGGGTACAACTGAACAACAACAACATCATGGGCTGGAGTTACAAAAAAAAAGGCAAAAAACAGTTGCTGCCTTCCAGGAGCTCACAGTCTAATGGAGGAGACAACCATGCAAACAACTGTGTACAAACTAACTATATGTAGGATAAATAGGAAATAATCAACAGAGGGAAGGCACTAGGATTAAGAGAGATAGGGAAAGGTTTCCTAAGGTGGGATTTAAGCTGGGACTTGAAAGAAGCCAGGGAAGCTGGGAGGTAGAGATGAGCAGGGGGAGTGTTCTGTGTATGAGGGACAGCCAGAGAAAATGTCTTGAGCCTAGAGATGGTGTCTTGTGTGAGGAACAGCAAGCCTGTCTTAATGAACTGAAGAGTCTGGGGGTTGAAGGCATGGTATAACAACATGTAAGAAGACTAGAAAGGTAGGGGGCACTAGGTTTGAATGCCAAACGGGCTTTTATATTTGATCCTGGAGGTGATAGGAAGTTGCTGGAGTTCATTGAGTGTGTGTGGTGGGGGGAGCAGGGAAGAGTGACATGGCCAGATTTGTGCTATTTAGGAAAATCACTTTGGCAGCTGAACAGAGTCAGCTAGAGTGGTGAGAGACTTGTGGCAGGCAGACCAACCTGCATTGTTGCCCTATTGCAGTAATCTAGGCAGAAGGTGATAAGGTTCTATACCAAGGTGGTGGGGAAGAAAGGGAGTATGTATGTGAGAGATGCTATAAAGGTGAAATCAACAAGCCTTCGTAACAGATTGAATATGGTGAAATGAAAAATAGTGAAGAGTCAAGGTTGGATCACAACAAGGTTGGAGTTCACAACTCCACCAACAATGGGTTAATGTTCCAGTTAACATAATGTTCCAAAGAACATCATCTCCAGCATTTATCATTTTCCTGTTTGGTCATGTTAGCCAATCTGATAGGTGTGATGTGGTACCTCAAGAGTTGTTTTAATTTGCATTTCTCTAATCAATAGTGATTTAGAGCATTTTTTCATGTGACTATAGATGGCTTTAATTTCTTCCTCTGAAAACTGCCTGTTCATATCCTTTGACCATTTATCAATTGGGGCATGACTTGTGTTTATTGACTTGGCTCCCTCTTCCCCTCCTCACTTTCCTGGCTTCCTTTAAATCCCAACTAAAATCCCATCTTCTCCAGGATACCTTTCCCAACCCCTCTTAACTCTAGTAGTACCTTCCTTCTGTTAATTATTTCCTATTTATCCTGTATATAGTTTGCTTTGTATATTTTTGTTTGCATGTTGTCTCTCCCATGAGATTGTAAGCTCCTTGATGATAAGGACTCTCTTTTGCCTCTTTTTGTATCTCCAGTGCTTAGCACAATGCCTGGCACATAGTAGACACTTAATGTTGCTTGATTGATAAAGAATAATACACAATGAGAAAAAAAGAATAACACACAATAGAACATTATACAAATTATTCTCCAAAATTGAGGAAGAATGCACACACCCAGATTCCTTTCATGAGACAAATATAGTACTTGTACCTAAGTTAGGGAAAGACAAAGCATAGAACTTTAGACCAACATCCCTGATGACTATAAATTTTAAAAAAAGTTTAATTATATTTTGTCAAAGAGACTAGCAATTTATCTGATAAATCATTTATTATGACCAAACTTAATTTATACTAGTTTTGCAAGGATGGTTAGGAAACAATAAACATAATCATATAAATGTTTTTAAAATCCCAAACCCCTTGATTATGTCAAGAAAAACGTTTGACAATGTACAGTACTCAGTTATGCTAAAAACCCTACAAAATATAGGCTTAGAGAGACCTTTTTTTAATATCATGAAAGTATAGATTTAAAATGAAAAGCAAGCATGCTATGCAATGGAGATACACTAGAAACATTCCTAATAAATACAGGAATAAAGCAAGGCTATCCCTTCTCCCTACTGTTATTTGATAGAGTTCTGAAAATGTTAGCAATACCAGTAAGATGAGAAAGAAATTCAGGGTGTAAAGATAAGCAAAGAAGAGATAAAACCATCCCTATTTGCTGATAATATGATAGTTTCATTAGAAAATCCCAGGGAATTAGCCAACATACCTAACTGAAAGAATTAATGGCTTTAGCAAAGTCATAGGCTACAAAATAAATCCTCAAAAATCAACCATTTCTATATAATAATAACAGAATTCAAGAGGCAGCAATAGAAATCCAGTTGTTTTAAATACTTTGTGACTTCATTTGGAGTTTTCTTGGCAAAGATACTGGAGTGGTTTGATATTTCCTTCTCCAGCTCATTTTACAGATGAGGAAACTGAGGCAAACAGGGTTAAATGACTTGTCTAGGGCCACATAGCTAATAAATGTCTGAGGTCAGATTTGAACTTGTCTTCTTGACTTCAAGCCTAGCACTGTATCTAGTGTGCCACATAGCTGCCCTTATTATAATAGAAGAGGAAACCCCATTCTAAATAACCCCAAAATGCATAGATTATCTGGGGGTCAGTCTACCAAAGCATACAGAAGTCTCGTATAAATTCATTTACAAAGTGTTCCTTAAAAAAATAAAGAACAACTTAAAAGGCTAGAGGAATATTCAGTATACCTGGCTTAGCTTTGCCAATAAAAAAAAATTGACAAAACTACCAAAGTTAATTTATACTTTTAATACCATACTAATCAATTTATTGAAGAGTTATTTTATAGAATTTGATAAAATAATAACAAAATTCATTTGGAAAAACAGAAGATCAAGATATCAAAGGAAATGATAAAAAAAGAGGTAGGGGAAAAGTGGGATAGTACTTCTAGATGTCAAACTATATAATAAAGCAGCAGTCATCAAATGCAACTACAATGGTTAAACAATAGAAAAAGAAATCAGTGAAACAAACTGGATGAGGGAGAATCAGAAATAATTGACCTCAATAACCTAGTGTCTGATAAACTGGAAAAGATATATTACTTAGGAAAGAATTCACTATTTGATAAAAAAAAAAATAACAAAACAAAAAAGAAAACCCACTGCTTTGAAAATTAGAAAGCAGTTTAGCAGAAATTAGGTTTA